CAGTCAGTCCTGGAGCTACCGCCGAGTGAGTCCTCGAGCTACCTCCGAGTTAGTTCCGAGTTAGCCAGCAACTAGTCAGTTGTATTCTGGCATTTGGAGTGTACTATTTGTGATACTGCAGATAGCAGTAATCGTAAATCTGTAATTTGGGTGATTGTAAGTGCGAATGTGAAATGAAATTCGCTATATCAAATACCTCGTGAAGTTAATTGTCGTGTTATACGCCCGATACACGACACTATGTTCACAAGAACTGTTTATGGGCCCATATCCTGAGCCAGATCGGTCCAGTCCATACCATCCCATCCTGTCTCTCCACGATCCATTTTAATATTGTCCACCCACCTATGCCTTGGTCTTCCCAGTGGTCTGTAGCCTTCTGGCTCTCCAACCAGGAACCTATATGCATTCCTCTTTGCCCCCATTCATGCTACATGTCATGCCCATCACACCCTCCTTGATGTGATCATTCTAATTATACTTGGAGAAGAGTACAAGTTATGAAGCTCTTTATTATGCATTTTTCTTCAACCTCCTATCACTTCATCTCTCTTTTTGTCCAAATATTCTCCTCAACACCCTATTCCCAAACACCCCCAGTCTGTGTTCCTTCCTTAATGCCAGAGACCAAGTTTCACACTCATACAGAACCACAGGCAAAATTATAGTTTTGTATATTCTAATTTTTGTGTTTTTAGACAGCACACAAAAAGACAAAAGGTTCTGGACTTAATTTCCTCAAGGATCAGGTTCTGATTTGTTATAGTCGTTCCCAAATATCTGAACTTGTGCCACATTTTCAAAACAGCTGTTACTTTGTTTTCTCGGTGTTTATTTGTAGACCAACCTCATTATTATTATTATTATTATTATTATTATTATTGGAGCGGGTGGGTTTCCCCATGCACCACGACTAATAGTCTATTGTACGTCCTCCTTTAGTATTCTACCAGTTGCCATACCCTGCCGGTACTGGTGCTTGCTATCAGCCCCGTTCAGCCAGCAAAGCTGGCAGTGGTACCCGATAACTTCCCCATCTACCGGAGGCATTGGAAACTATTTGGGCGGGAAACTTTGCCTAATTTTGCTCAGAGGTCTCCTAGAGACATGAGGATCTTTTACGTGCCATAAATCTATGACACGGGACCCACGGCTTATAGTCCCTTCTGCCCCTAAAAATTCCACGACCTCTGCTGGGTTTGAACCCATGTACCTTGAGTCATGAGGTGGGAACGTTACCCCTAGACTGCGGAGGCCGCTAGACCAACCTCCTTACTAGCGTCAGTTGAAGTTTGTGTTTTTTCTTTATGGTGACTGTATTATCATCTAGTAGATTCACATCATCAGCATAGACCAACAGCTGATGTGCCCCATTTCATTTCAGTCCCACCTGGTTTTCCTGGATCTGCCTAATGGCATATTCTAAAGAAAAGTTGAAAGGGAGTGATGATAAAACACTTCCTTATTTTAGACCATTCTGGTTAGAAAAATTATCAGACAGATGTTAACCTATATGGACTTTACCATATGTTTCATTTAAACACAGTTTAATCAGCCTAACTAGTTTCATGGGTACCCCAGAATCAGAATGTTTTACAATACTTCCGTCCTAACTGAATCATAGGCTTTCTTAAAGTCTACAAATAGCTGATGTACTGTCTTATTATACTCCCATTTTTTTCTCCAGTATCTGAATTGCTGTATATAGTTTGTTTAAATTCCATTGTGTAGAGGAAGGGCCCAAGTGCTCATCAGAGATATTGTTGCATGGCGTACAGTTGAAACTTCGGTAAGCTGGCAGAGTGACCATCTTTTATGCGACTCCTTATTTCTTGAAAGTGCACATGCTTATGTATTTAATTTTCTGTAACCTATTGACAAAGTAATATAACCACATGTAACATATTGTGATGCGTTATCTTACGTCCATCACCGCAAGAACTGCTACAATCAGAACGGACGCTTCCACGGCAACGAATAGGTGGAAATTGTGGAACTCCCACATCGACAAATCATAGCAACAAATTGTTGTTAAGTAATAACGGATGAGACGAAACACGTTAGCGGTGTAATCTGTAAAGAGTGTTCCCGAAGCAATGGATTTCTGACCAGTGGTAACGGAATCATGAGAAATGGTGTCTGGTATCCAGTCCGCATAACCCCTACATAAGCAGAGCTTACGACATGTACAGAATATTGGAAGTATTGAGTATGAGAATGAGACAATCTTGGGATAGCTGCCGCCAGAGACAGCTGAGATACAACCACAGCCAAGGATAGTTGAGATGTCGCATTTGAGTATCGGGCCAGAAGTCGAGTGATACCGCAAGTGTTAATAATTGTAAGGTGTGTAAGAGTGAGTGTCCAATAAAGATTCGCTAAATCTTAGACCCACGTGAAGTTATTTGTCATGTGACATACCCAACACATGACAACATTATAGTGTAAGAAATATGCCCACTTTTTATTTAAGAAAAATTACTACTTTGTAGGAGAATTTGAAAAATTAATGAAATAAAAATATGTCTTGAAGTAGTAACACTTGGTCAAGGTTTTCACAGTGGTGAATATAAAGATTGTGATCTGGAATGTGATACTATATTGTTTTGGATCTGGAGGCAACCAAAATGTCGTACCTAGCTACCAGACTGGATGGTGACACATCCCAGAAGGCAGCAATCTTAGTAATGATTATGATTTTGTTATATTTTGATGCCTATGCTGTATCTATTACAGATTTGATTATGGCTATTTTATCCTCATCTTGAACTGGTCTCAGACTTGAAGGGTACTTTCAGTTTCTGCTTTCAAGTAACTTTATTTTAAAGAATTCTCTCTTCTGAGATTTAATGCTCAGTAGTCTGTTGGAAATCATCTGATGTTTTTACAGAGGGACAACACCTCCATCTTCAGAACTACACAGCATTATATCCTAGAAGACAAAACTTTGTAACCTCTACTGTAAGAACGTCAAGTCCTGCAGCATAAGTATTAATTGTGGTTCTACAGGTGCAGGATACAAGTGCCTCTCCAACACTGAGCCGTCTTCTGACAGCCGGGTTGAATCGAGGGAGTAGCATAAAGTCGGATCGGAGTTCCAACTCCTCAGAATTATCGTCAAACACTGTTGGTGTGGATAACTTGTGTGCTGAGATGAACACCCTCATGCACGACTTTGAAGTAGTTAGCCGAATTGCAGACCTCGTATCCACCCTCAGGGGTTCCTATAAGGTACGTCATGAAGTTAGTTCATTGGTATCATGCACCTATCTTGCCTCATTTAATGTGGATCGTTTTCTGTGTTTACACGTTACAAAGTACTGTTGAAAGTGTTCAGACCAAGGAGAGTATGATGGTCAGGGCATATAGCATGTACACCATCTGTCACAGCCATGTGATTCCCCCCTGCCAGATTCACACTGAACAGAACAGAAGTCTTACTGTCACTGCTGCATGGATCAGCATACACCAACCACCATTCATTCATCCATCCATCCATCAGTGGCTCTACAGCCCATTGTTGGGCCCTGGCCTCTTCTTCAGTTACATAATCATTTTTACACAGTCGATAGGCGATCAGCCCCTTGCAAGACCACTACCTACACATGGGTCAATACAAACACAGAATAAACGCACATATAGCCATATATCTAATAATAGCCATAACTAATTTGCCCCAAGGAACAAGCTGGTAGATATGTATGGACATTTCTTACTGCTGTGAGATCCTAAGATTTCATCACTTTTCTCTTCATGTAGTCACAGGCATTGTTATTTCCTAGTCATTTCAGTCAGCTCACTAATAGTATAGTTTCAGCTCCCCTGAAAGGCATTTGTTCCATTATAGGATCTTGAATCCTGCTCTGAAATATACCACAAAATTTTGTCATGAAATCGAAATTCTAGTGGTTAGAGCTCCATTTTGTTTCGGAGATTACAGAATTGAATGTCTGCCCAGAGCTTTTCTAGTGTGTGATTTGTTGCAGTTTTCTGTAGTCAATGCAAGAAATGTAATTTGGTAGCACTGTACATTCAGATTGGCCATGATTACTTGATCCCAGTCCTTTCCGCTTTATTATTATTATTATTGTTCTTAATCATCATTTTGTTTGCCATGACAGTGCCTACAATGAATGAAATCTTCTGTCAGCCAGCCATGTCAGGATGGATTTACACGGTGTCATGTCTGTCAATGTCTCAATCATCGTCATATTTATAAATGAAGTCTGCAGTGCTCCGGTCACCACAGCAATTGCAATGATAGAAACAGTGACATTTTCCAGAACATAGGACATTCATTCCATATTTGTATGACGGACTGGCCAGGAAGGTTTCATTGCATTTACTAGATGTGTAGGGTCTCAGATGTTGTTATAGAAACTGCGTAGTTGATAAAAATAAACTGAGAAAGATGACATTCATAGCTTCAAAAGTACAGAACAAGTGCCACATCCAAAGTAAGAATGATAACCAGTTTAGATAATTTTTCTCTCTGCACTGTGTATTAATGTCTTGCTGCCCTTGGCACAGGAACTGAGTGTTGAAGGGATGAGACGAATATTGAACACCATTCAAAGTTCAATTCAGCAAAAGGATGAAGAGATGGCCTGGGTTGATTCCTGTTGCTTGCAGCTTGCTGTGAAAAATAAATCCAACAAAGAGGAAATCTACACTTTCCAAACTGATAACCCAGTGGTGAAGAAAGAATGGATCACTGGTAATGATCTGTTGTTTACTTAATGTTTCATAATTTGAAGAAAAAAAAAAAAGAAAGAAAGAAAGAAAATGATCTAATATAGGGACTTAGCATATGCTGCAAAGTATTCAGAACTGGCGTGATCCATATATTGGAGATTGTGTAATGTAACTTGTTTTGTATAGAATTGCGATTGGCTCAGTTGGCACTGGACCCCAACAACTCCCCAGCGTGGGAGGTACCTGAACAGGAGCGGCGACCTTCCACTAAGATGCCACTGTTTGTCAGAGCTCAGTCCGTATATAAGTCACAGCATCAAACCGAAGTAAGGGATTTTTGTAATTTAAATACAAAAATATGTATGTTGTCTTTATTATTTTGCTCAATAATGTGTACCCTTGTTATTGGATTTTACCCTAATGGAAAATTGGGATAAATATTAATTTTTTAAACAAAACTCAAAACCAATCTTGTAAGAGACGATTATTTGCCGAAAATTCGGATTTCATATCCATATGTGTCACTGACAGGGGGCATTGCAGGTAGCACAATCACTGTTCCTGTCCTCTACAAGCTGTTTCAACCAAATCCATGGAGCTTAGTCTTTCTTGAGATGCTAGTAGTTGCTCAGCCTCTCAAGAATCCAACATTTTACAGAACCTGAAGATTTGTCATCACATTAACCAACAGCCTATACCATTGGTTTCATTCCTAAGCCAGATGAGTACAGTGCACACATCCTGTTTCACCTGTAGGACCTGCCATGTGTGCCTAGGTCTTTTTAATAGTCTCTTTCCTTCAAGGCTTTCTTCCACATCTTTTGTACTTATATCCAATTCATGCTATATGCACTGCCCATTTTATCCTCCTTCATTTGACCATTCTGATAGTGTTTGGTGAGTACAACTTGAATTGTGAATGTATTGAATAAGCAGTTGTGCACAGTTAATAAGGGGTGGCTGTCCAGTTTGGGGGTTAAGTAAGGGTCTGTCAGCTTCACACCATAAAAGACAAGGATTTTTTGGTATGTTACACAGTTCCTTGGCCTTGGGGTATCTCATGTACCAGTCAGAATTTCTAGCGAGTCAAGTTTGTATTTTTAAAGCTTTATGTATTTGTTTGTATGCCTCCTCTTATTTCTATTGGACAAAAAAATGCTTTTATTTCAGCTGTGAACCAAAATTTTTCTTCTGTAGGAATACACCCCCACTCATATATGGGGGTCAGTGGTGACATAGGGTTTGTGCTATAGAACTTCATGATAGAGGATACGTTCTCACTAACATGTCAGTTTCATTATGTTAGGGCTTTCTTTGTTAGTTCTGAAGCAGCTAATTATTTCCTGAGCAGAGGCCCCCTTATTACTGAATCATTTGGCCCTTTAGCAGCATTTAAACTTCATACAAGTCAGTGGACTAAATATCTCCAATCTCTCCTCTCTTCCCATGGTTTCTCCTCTTTGCTCCCCTTCCAGTTCCTGGCTTGTCCCATATGCTTTTTTTCATTAAATTTTAATACCTTTCTCAGTAAACCTGGTCTGAGGCTTTGTGCACATTTTCATAACAAGGAGTTGTTAGCCCAACCGTCAACCCCCAAGCTGAAGGACTACCCCTTGTCGGCTGTCTGCAACTTCTTATTCAATATATTTGCAGCTTCCTTCCATACCTGGAAGGCATCTCCTCCATCTGCAACATGACATGCAATGCTGTGGTGACTATAATTTTGCCTGTAGTTCTGTATGGGTGTGAAACTTGGTCTCTCACATTAAGGAAGGAACACAGACTGTGGGTGTTTGAGAATATTTGGACTGAAGAGGGATGAAGTGACGAGGTTAGAGAAAACTGCATAATGAGGAGCTTCATAAGTTGTACTGTTCTCCAAGTANATGTAGCACGAATGGGGGAGAAGAGGAATGCATATAGAATATTGGTAGGAAAACCACCGGGAAGACCAAGGCGTAGATGGGTGGACAATATTAAAATGGATCTTACACAGATAGGATGGGATAAATTGGATTGATCTGGCTCAGGCTCAGGATAGGGATCAGTGGACGGCTCTTGTGAACACAGTAATGAACCTTTGGGTTCCATAAAATGCTGGGAAATTCTTGAGTAGCTGCAGATATGGCTTCTCCTCAAGAAGGGCTCAGTTCCATAAGTAAGTAATTTCTCAGTAAACCTGTTATTATATCCATGCTTTTTACATGAATGGGGAGAGCATGCCGGCAGTGGGTGTCTTCAGTAATGCTTCGAACCGGGATAAAATCGTTTTGTATCTTACTGTGACATGAATTCTTATATTGATATTAGTCACTTGTGATCACTGAAATTGTGTGTTAAATAGAGTGGGGACCTGAAATTGAGGAACATTAAGTGAGTTCTCCACTATATCAAATTTAGGAAGTATTTGTTTTTTCTTCTCCTCCTCCTCATGTATGCAAATGTTAATTTATTTGGTTCACTATGCGCTTTACTGAAGAGTTCAATGAAACAAGTAAGACCAGAGTTCTTTTCGCACATGTTTGCATACCATTTCAGGGAGAACAAAATTTTCAATTTATATGCATCCATACATTTATCATACTAAATGAACTATCATGTAGTGCAATGCACACTTTTCCTGATTATCCCACAAGAGAAATACATTATATGTGTGTATGTATTTATGACCTGGTACCCTGCAGAAAATTTTGAATTTTTATGTTTACTCTCACTGGCATTCAACAAAGAAGCTGAGGAATTATATTTTGTGACAGCATTGTTATTTAGACATACACAGATCCAATCAAGTTCCACTTACTTGTTTGGCCAGTACATTGCTAAATGTAACCAGTTTTTGGAGCATGCAATCTTTGTGAGATTTCAGGTTCTCATGGCAGTAAGTACAGTGAATTCCACATTTATGGTATTGTTTGGGGATCTTCAGATTTGAACACTAAATTGAGGCGAATCTTAAGTGCAGGAAATTTAATCTGAGCTTTGTCAGTGGTGATCATTAGATTTGAACACTGAATTGAGGCACATCTTCAATGGACACACTTTTAACACTTGGGTTATTATTGTCTTAATGGCCCTGAAATTGAACAATAAATCGAGGATCATGAAATGGTGGGTTCTGTGTATGTAGGAATTCTCTGTTTGAGGGAACTCTGTGCCATGTCTTTAGATTTGAATCCCGTTGGATTAGGAAAACCTAGTTACTATGTCCTATTTCTTTGACCATGATGTGGAGGGAAACTTTGAGATTTGCAGTTTGGGCCCAAGATATACAATACTCATTATCTGTGCTAATGGAGGGGGAACCTATCATGGTGGCCACACAGCCTGAGACATNGTCTGAGACATGAACTGTCCTTGCTCGCTTGAATTCTGGGATCGTGGTTTTGAATCCCACTCAGGACATGGATGTCCATGTGTGTGTGTATTCTGTTTTGTGTTGTGCTATGTATAGGTAGTGGCCTTGCAATGGGCTGATTACTTGTCCAAGGAGCCCTACCGTCTGTGTCCAAAATGATCATGAAGCTGAAGAAAAGGCCAGGCTCCAACAAAGGGCTGTAGAACCATTGGTGAATGAATAAATGAATGAAATGGGGGAGGAAATAGGCCACAAACTGGATAATCTGCACACAGATGACTGTGGATATGCCGTGCTTGATTGTCTTGTGGTGTATACGTGGTGTGTTCAAAAAGTATTGAACCTTTTTTTTTCTCACGTAAACCAGTGAAGCGTGGGAGGCTCCCTTCGGTGGAGATGTGGAGGGGAAATTCATGCGCAGTCGTGAATTTTTTCCCGCCCGCAGAAAGCGTCAGTCACTGACAGTCAGCCTATGAGTGAGGATGTGTAGTGAGTGCGCGTCGGATTCCAGTAAGGTGTAAAATGACGGAACATGAGCAGCAATATTGCATCAGATTTTGTCAAAAGCTTGGCGATACCCAAGTGGAAACCATTCGCAAGATTCAACAGGCTTTTGGGGATGATGCCATGAGCAACTCACGGATAAAGGAGTGGTACAAGCGCTTCAAAGATAGCCACACATCAGCGGACAGCGAACCGCGTTCAGGCAGACCCTCAACAAGCCGAAATTAGAATGTCATTGAGCAAGTGTGGACTTTGGTCATGGAGGACCGTCATATCACAGTCCGAGAACTTGCGAAGGAGATAGGGGTAAGCATTGGATCGGTTCATTCAATTTTGACCGAGGATTTGGGCATGAGGAGAGTGTCCGCG